CAACTGTTTGAGCATTTATGCATAGTTCTCAAAAGTTTACAAGATGTGGGACTAAAAGTCAATAAAGATAAATGCAAGGTGAGGGTCCCCAAGGTAGAATTTTTAGGCTATTCCATTGATGCTACTGGTATCCATCCCATGGAATCCAAAATTACTGTTATTAAAAATGCACCAACACCCAGAAACAAAACAGAACTGCAAGCATTTCTGGGCCTTTTAAACTTCTATGCAATCTTCTTACCTCACAAGGCTACCTTAGCAGAGCCATTACACAGGTTGCTGGATAAAGGCACACACCTTCACGAGGGGCACCCAGGAATTGCCAAAATGACAAGTTTAGCATGAAGTTTAGTATGATAGCCACAACTGGATGAAGACATAACTGGGTTACTGGGTGCCAGCCATGCCAAGTCTCATGCTTTGCACCCCCAAAAGCAACACCAATGGAATGGGAAAATCCCAAAAAGCCATGGTCAAGAGTACACATAGACTTAGCTGGCCCACTCCAAGGTAAAACTTTCCTAGTTGCTGTGGACATGTATTCTAAGTGGCTGGAAGTAGCGTCCATGTTGTCCACCACTTCAGATGCCACGCCAGAACACTAAAAAGACTGTTTGCAATGAATTGTCTTCCAGACCTTCTGTGACCTTCCAAACTCCAAATATCTTCAACTGGAGACAAAAAAACTCCCCCACAAGCATTTACAAGAAGGAGGAAATGCCGTTTAAATTACAAAGAGTAAAAAACAGCACAAACCAGGTAAGATAAGGGCTGGAAGACATCCACAGATATCCGAACACACACTGGGAATGATGCCAAACTCAGGAACAATAAACTAGAGATATTTCCACACTTTGTTTCACATGTCCATCCTCTTATCCAGTTGTCACACCTGCATCCCATGAAGAGGATCAGGCCCTCTCCTCCCAAGGAGACCACATCTCTCCCTTATCCTCTCCTCCCTGCATGCCCTAGGATGGAGAGGGGATGGGCCTGGGTCCTCCTCTGACTGCTCAGCTGACCTCTGCCCTTCCCCAGAGTCCTCTACAACCTCCAGAGCCACACTTCCACTCCCTGTCGGCGGTTCCTCCTGTCCCTCAGAGTCAGTCTCCACTAGGGGCATAACACCTTCTGGTCTGTGATAATGGACCTCAATTTACAGCTGCCAACATGGAACTGTTCTTGTTAGGATTGAGCATATGACACGCCCTCTCTGCCCCTTTCACCCTGCTTCAAATGGTATGGCAGAACGCATGATAAGATCTGCCAAGGAGTCTCTAATCCGTATGGGCCCTGGAGATTGGGAGTCTAAGGTGGCCAAATACTTATTAGTGCAGCATATTACCCCAAGCCTTACCACAGGATACAGTCCTGCAGAGTTACTAATGGGCAGGTGCCTTCACACCCATCTAAATAGGCTACACCCTAGTTATGCCCCTGAACACACACCTGAACCAAGCATGAACCTCAGGGCATTTGTAGAGGGTGGTGGGGTCTTTGCAAGAAATTATGGGGATTCCCATTATAGGTACCTGGAATAGTGGTGGAGGTAACTGGGCCCCGTTTGTACAAAGTATTGTTGGGGGATGGGAGGCTGTGGTGTAGGCACACAGACCAGTGAAGAAGGTGCCCAGCTGACCCTGTCAATTCCAAAACCACCACTCTAATCAACACTCAGACGGCCAATGCAGAATCAACAGCCACCTCAAACAAGACCCAAGAGCTCCATGCAGAATCAGCCGCCATACCAAGGCTGAAAGCAAAAAATCCCAACCACAAGGAAACATCCAAGACTTATCTGGGAAACAGGCCTTCAAAAGCAATGCGATGATGATACCTCCTCTCCTCAACCCTGCTGCCCTCCCGAAAGGGTGACTGCCTCACCTGAACTAAATCCAAAATTTAATTTTATTAGATAGGGCTCAGCGTTTGCATCTCTCAAGATCCTTCTGGATTGTGAGCGTATCTTCTGGAGTGTTGATCATTCTGCCAGCTTGGTGTTGTCTGCAAATTTGATGAATTCCCCTTCTACCCCCTCATCTAAGTCATTTATGAAGATGTTGAAGAGTACTGGACCTAAAACAGAACCTTGGGATACCTCACTACTTACTTCCCTCCATATGTTGTAGTTACAAATCCATCTGGTGATGACCTCTTTCACACATTTTTCTAATTTACTAAGAAGTAGGTTATGGTCTATTTTGTCAAATGCCTTACTGAAATCCAAGTATTGTCAGCATTCCAGAAAACATCCACTCCAACAAATAACTCCGAGATAGACATCCTCTCAAAAGCTCTATTTTAATTGAATAGTAAACTGGCACATCTAGAGAAACCCGAATCAGAAAGTTCTGGGCTTCCTTGCAATAAGTAAAAATTACAAATCCACCCCCTGCACCCACCATCACATCCCATGCCCCAATCACCGTCTGCCCCAATTTGAGACTTCCCCTCACTTATGTGCAAACTAACATGACCTTGAATTAGAAAAAGAAAGTTATTATGTCTAACTACATACACTCCAAGAAATTCCTCCCTCCCATTTTCCCAAGCTCAAAATGTGGTAGTATGGAAGTGTCTAGTGTCAATATGGCTTCCAAAGCTGACAAGTATATTATTTCCAGAGCATTTTGCTGGTCCACCAATTTCAAAGAATGAACTAAGATTTGTTTGGTATGATCTGTTCTTGACCAGCCCATATCAGTTTGCACATTCCGAAATATTTATTAGACAACTTCCAAAGTCTTTGGTTTTTTTCCCCCCAACACTTCATTGGGTTTTTCCGTTTATACATAATACCATTACTAATTGAACAATACTGTGACAATATATATATACATCCTACCCAATCTTATATATGGCGCCTTCATGATTGGCTAAGATCTACCCAAATCTAAAACCAAATTGCTGGAATGTGGACATCGACAAGGTACTTTCTTTCATTCTTGGTGGTCATTCCCCAAAGTGAAGAAATATTGGATATGTGGTTAGAGGAGTGAATTGAAAATAAAATTGATTTCATCCTGGAACTATTCCTCTTAGGAATAATTAAAAGAAACTATAACCGAAAGATAAAATATCATATATTACATGTAGTATCAGCAGCTAGAATTTCCTACGCACAGTACTGGAAGAAAAACACCATACCTCCCGAAGGTTTAATAATTAAAAAAATCTTCAAGTGCACGGAAATAGACAAATTAACTATGGAACTAAAAGGGAAAGCTGACATGGAAGACAATGCAATATGGGAAACATGGTGTGGAAAGGGAACTTCACGAAGACAGTAGTGTCACTCAAACAGGAAAAGCCCAAGGGGAACATCAGGCCAGCCATAAAACAAGCTTACATAGGAAAAGGAATCAAATTAAAGGTATTAAAGGATCCCTATAGACAAAAGCCTAAGTAATTAAGAAAACTAGACAAATAAGAAAAGGAAACCCTTACAAACACAGGACAGACCAAATAAGCAAAACAAAGAGACAAAAGACACAAAAAATATAAATTACAAAAAGAGACAGACAGGAGATTGCCACAAAACAAATATGAAAAAAAAAACATTATAAAGCTAAAAGAGATTAAGAAAAACCGATAATACAATCTAACCACCCTGGGGAGTTTGCCCTCTGGCGGGAATAAAGACAAACTCAAACAGGATTTGAAACATTAAGCACAAATACAAACATTCACACGAAATCAACTCACAAAGAGAGAAAAGGGTATAAAAACCAGGGACTTACCATAAGAAGCCAGCTAGCCCAGGAACGCAGACTTCTCGCTGTCCACCGCCTTCCTGAAAAATAAAAAGATCCAGCTTTCAAGCAGTTGTCCGTATCCTTGAGCCGGAGCTCTCCCAGCGGGAAAATTGAATCCTCGAAAGAAAGGCATTTTGACACCTTTCAATAATAGTGTGTCTGGATTGACAATAGACATAAGAATAGAAATGTAAATAATATATATAGTTATGAGGGTATAGAAGTAGTGTGTATTGAAAGATTGGATAGGATCCAAAGTCTTTGTATAGCCTCACTGTCACACTAACCAGCAATAGCACGTTCTGACATTTTAAGGCAATAACAAACACTCCAGACTTAACAATTATTGATATGAAAAACAAAAAAAAATCTGGATAGTGGACATGGCACTACTAGAGAAGGTAACAAAATACAGAGACAATAGAAGTAGAATGACTTTGGTAAAAGAAAGCAAAGATAGTGATGGGTACCTTGACTGCCATTCTAAAACATCTGGAGCACCACTTGAATATCACCATCATTGACAAAGTCACCTATCAATTGAAAAATGCAGCTTTATTGGAAACAGTTTACATCCTGCGATACCTTTAATGCCATCAAACAACACCTGCATATTCTGGATCCTTCGGAAGGATTTGATAGATGGATTAAAAAAAAACGTTAAACCCAAATTAAACATCTGGCTGACTGTGTGACAAACCATAAATTGGAGCCATTTTGGTGTAGAGGTGAAGGTACTGGCGTAGAAAATCAGGAGATGGTGAATTCTCAATCCTGCCTTAGCTATGAAAACCAGCTCGGTGACTTTAAACCAGTCACTCTCTCTCATCCCAACCTATCCCACAGGATTGTCCTTGTAGGGAAAATAGCAGGAGAAAGGAGTATTAGGTATGTTTGCAACCCTGAATTATTTATAAAGTGTATTACTTTATAAATAGTTCAGGATTGCAAACATACCTAATACTCCTTCCTCCTGCAGGATAAAAAATTAGAACAGTATTCATTCATTCCAGATTTTTAAGAAGTCTTCCTCTGAGCTTGGGGTATTTTCAGAAACTGAAACTATATTTACTTGAGCTTGAGTGGCACGCAGAGTTTCCCAGCTTGCATAATCCCTTTTGTCACTCTTTGGCAGGAAGTGGGGGCAACATCTGGAAAAGCGGAACTGCAGGAGTTTTGCTGAAGATCTGAAAGCACCTTTTGAACCCAGAGAGTCGAGGAGAAGACATCTTAGAGAGTCGAGGAGAAGACATCTTACAGACACGAGGTAAGCTGGAGGAGGTTGAGGGAGAGAGAAAGATGCTGCCGTTTCATGGGGCTGACGGGACCCACGAGGGTGGCAGCTCACAGTTTTCACTTGTTGAGGCCACGTTGAACTTGCAGGAAATGTTAGCTGGGGAGAAACTGACTGTGAGGAGAATGAAAGTAGGGAAGAGCTGGAGAGGACCTGCTCACATCCTGTATTAGACTTTTAATGGAGGCCAACTCTCCTCAAGATAGACCTACAAAGAATGCTGTCCTTGCTTCTCATGCTATGTCCAAATAAGCTCTACTTCACACTGACTTCAGTTCTTGGTATCTCCTTCATGTCTAAAGCTTTCCTGGCATTAACGTGGAAGAGATTTGGGCTTCTTTCAGAATGTCTTATGGGAATGATGGATGGAAACTGATTCAGGAGAGATTCAACTTGGAAATAAGGAGAACTTTCATGACAGTGAGAGCACTCAGCCAATGGAACAGAAGTTGCCTTCAGAAGTTGTGGGAGCTTCATCACTGGAGGCTTTTAGACTGCCATTTGTTGGAGATGGCGTAGGGTCTTCTGCTTGGGTGGTTGGGTGGACCTACAAGATCCCTTTCAATTCTGTTAATCTGTAATGTCTCCTAGATTTTTCAGTCTTAGATAGTTTACCATCTAAGGGTTAACCAATTTGACAGATACTCTATCACCTAAGATAAGGGCAGCCTAAAGACCCCATAACACAATTGCGTGCCTCTGTTTGCATTTACATCATTTTGTATTAGTAGGCAACATGGCGTTTTGGGGTGGTAGCATTGCAACGAGGGCAATTCATATCTGAAATAACATGACCTCATCCAGAATGCCTGTAGCTAGCTGGCTGTGCAGCCAGGGCACTACAAACACAGGTTGGCTTCTCTAGATGTTGGTGAGGGTGAGGATGTCTTACTCTTGCCAAAGAAGCTTCCTAATTGTAATTCCACGGAGGACCCGAGCACTCCCATAGTTTGTTGATTAGGGTTCCCAATAATGAAATGGGACAGGCTTCAAAAACCAACTGGTTGGGCCATTACAAGTTGTCTACTGTAACTGAAATCTTCTGGGTTGGATGATGGACCCATTCCAGTTGAGTCATGTTTTGTTCATGGGATTATTCCTTCCTTGCAGCCATGGACATCGTGGAGCACATTCTAGCTGTTGCAAATGTCATCTACGGTCAATATCAGCACATGAAGTACTGCAAGAAGCAGAAAGAGCGCCTTATCAAGCGCATGGAGGTCCTCCTGAGACCGATTCAGCTCCTCCAGGTTCAGCCCCTCAGCAAACTGTCCTCCAGTCTGAAATTTATGCTGCAGAACATGTTGGACCTCCTGCTGGAAGCCCAGGAACTCTTTGAGAAGTACAAAAACCATAACATGCTAGAGAGGTTCATGAAAGCTGGTGAGATGCTGGAAGAGTTTGCATACCTGAACAAGCGCTTTGGAGACATGGGCCAGGGACTTTTGCTGCAGCTCCAGGTGGAGCAGAGGGTGCTAGTGAGCTTTCAGAAGTGCGTGGTGAGCAAGGAATGCTGCCAAGATCTGGCGGAAGACAAAGTTTGCTGGAAGGAGATGATCAAAGGTAGGGCTGTGTTTTGTTGAAATGTCCTTCCTTTGAAAAATGGAAGAGGGGATCTCGATCTCTCTTTAATAAGTTCCAGATGTTTCTAAGCAATTAGAGGCAGGTAAAACCACCCCAGCTACATATTGGCTTTGGGGAGGTATTGTTGTGGTTCGCCGGCAGCCGGTGCGGACAGCAGTGGAATCGGACAGTGGCGAAGAACAGGGACCAAGCCCGGAGTCTGGGGAGGACTCAGATGAGGGTCCTGCGTCCGATGCAGGGATGAGGCCAGGACCATCTGGGAGTGGGGTGCTGCCTTCGGAGCCTCCGGAGTCGGGCACCAGCGAGGCAGAGGAACAAGGGAGCCTGTTCCCAGCACGGGTGTGCACAGAGCTGCTAGGAAGCAAGAGCAGCTGAAGCAGAAGGGGTGACTCAGGAGTAAGACTGAGAGGTGATTGCCCCTCCCATAAGGGATAAAAGTCAGACATCAATGACGAAACCTTTGCAGGAAGCAAAGTAGTTCGATAGATTCCGAGTCCTCCTTGAACCTCTGTGTACTCTGGTTGATTTTTTTTCCGGTATCTCTTTTGGTTTCCGGTATCTCTCTTGGTAATTAATTGGATACTTCTGTTTTTGGCAACATTCCACGGCACTGAAAGGTGTGTGCTTATCTTGGGGAACTGTTTATAATTAGTTCTGGCTCAGGGGTGGGATTCTACCAGTTCCCACCCGTTCTATAGAACCAGATGTTAAGATTCTGCCCAGTTTGGAGGACCGGCAAATCATACCCGTGGATGGCTCCACCCCTTCCCGGCTACTCGCCTCAGATGAGGCTGAAGATATGTTGCTGGAACTGCTAGGCTCTAAGCCCGGACCACGAATCCCTTTCTCTCTCCCTTCCCCCTGCGCCTATCCCATTTGGAAGATATTGGGTTAGTTTTGCTGTTGCTGACTAATTCCTCCATGCTTCCTAAATGACGTAGATCGAGTGGGAAGTGGCTGGTGTGTGTGGGTGTGAAATGAAGCCTCCCTCCTATAAAATCCATTCAGAAAATAAAGGAGCGGATACGGTTTAATTCTGCTTCAGCCCAGATTGCTGGAAGAGAAAGTAGTTCAACATTATTTAATTGACTAATTCATTGGAAATTGCTGTGTTATGCTTTTCATGGGATGTAGTGCTTATGATGGGCTATATCAGGTAATACTCAGCCTTAAAATTATGTTATGTAGGTAAGAAAGGCAATTAGATTTGTTGGCCTTCCTAGGTATGATTTTCAGTGGTTAGTCTCTGCTGCTTTGCACTACTAGTATAATTAAACCAAATACCTCTCTCTAAATTTAAGACAGCACTAACCCTAGAACATTTTAATGGACTAGGAACAGCCTTCCTGGAAGAGATAATTTTTGGGGGGGGGGGGGACTTTACTCTTTAAAGCGGTGTCCTTGTGATGAAGGGGCAGTTTATATTACAGTAGAAAATAAGTAACTTCCATTGGAGGTCAATCCATGCATTTAGTGAGGAGGAGGCAGCAATATTAAATCAGAGCCTTGGTACAAGGAGCAATCCAGTAGAAGCGCCTTGTTGGTTCTGGCCAAGCAGAGATACGAGCATGGTAAGTATTGGATCTTATTAAATCAATTCATGCAGAGATACAATGCTCATGTAGGAAGTTAGCACCCCCCCCCTCTCCTAGGAAAATGAAATATCCTAGGAAATATTATAGAGGAAGAATATTTCCCATAAAAAGAGAAGTAGGAACTCAGAAGCAGAAACTCACCCCGCACCTTGGTTAATGGGTGGGCCATTAAGGCCTGGACCAGAGTATTCTACATGACAAAGGCCTCTGCCCATCTCCCCACCTGGCCTGGAAAGATTGCATCAGCTAGTACACAGGTGAAGCCATGTGGTCCAGACAAAGCCTACAAAATTAGCTAAGACCCCTGTCCCTGGGAGTCTGACAGCCAATGGGATACATTTCTTTCACAGGGACAGGAAACACTAAGGTGGAGCCCCACAGAGGTTATATAACTAAGGGACTCTCAGCATCTCAGCCCTCTCCCTTCTTTCTTCACCCAAGGCATGGGATCCTGCCCACCATTAAACCATCTTTCCAGTGTCTTTCCCTGCCCCCACATGGAACTGAACCCACAAGGGAGAAAGAGACAGACAGAGAGAGAGATACCCGTGGCTCTTTGAGTTTTAAGGTTGCAGACCCAGGGGTAGGCAAACACCATGGTCATTAAGTGAACCTTGTGGTCATTGAGCAAACACTGTGGTTGTTAAACAAGTCCATTTTCCCCAATGGGCATTTTTAACCAGAAACCACAAGGAATTGTTGGAAACTGGCAAAAAACATAGAAAACCTCAGTCACAAAACTGTATGAGAAGTTGTAAATGGTCATAAGTATGTGTGTGTGTGTGTGCGCGTGCGCATGGCTGTCAAAACACCAAAACAGGTCAAGTAGCTCTGGGGAGGTCAGTCATAAATTAGAACACTTGCTAAGCAACTGGCCATTAAGCGAGGACCACTTATATTTGGTTTGCCAGTCACTTAGCCGCCTAGCCATGCCCACCCCAGTCACATGACCCACTAGCCTGCCCAGCCAGTCACATGACCCGCTAGCCACGCCCAGTCACATGACCACCAAACCATGCCCAGTCAGCAAGCTGTACCCACCCAGTCACCAAGCCACACCCACAAATTAGGCCAGGCCCACAGAACCAGTTGTTAAGTAATTTGAATCCCACCCCTGTTCTGGCTGGGAAATAAAGCAATTCCCAGCGTTGCAATAAAATAGGTTTTGCTTTTAAAACAAGTTTGATATTAATTACGTTTGACCAAGTCTGGGTCAGAACAGGCATGTTCAATGGGAGATAAGATGCTAACTCAGGATGGGAATTCTGGAATTTGGTTCCTCAGATAATACAGATAATTAGAGTTGGAAGGGACCTTGTAGGTCATCTAGTCCAACCCCCCGCCCAAGTGGGAGATCCTACACCATTTCTGACAGATGGCAGCCCAATCTCTTCTTGAAAGCCTCCAGTGATGAAGCTCCCACAACTTCCGAGGGCAACTTCTGTTCCATGGGTGGATTGTCCTCACAGTCAGAAAGTTTCTCCTCTGCGGGATTCTCACCTGGGAAAGCTGCCTTATGGTCTCACTTCTTCTGGAAGTGTCTTCCACCTCTAAATAGGCTTTTTGCCCAGAATTAAGTTGGAGAAGGTCCCCTTTTTTTGTGACTTTCCAACCATTGTATTCGGACTGTTGCATCTTGACTACCACAGTCAGCACTCTCATTTCCTAATATTTTGAGGTCAGGCAGCTTCTCTCTGTCTTCAAAAGAGGCCATCAAGATTTCTTAGGGAGGGTGAGCCACGCCTGAAAGCCGTGACTGCATTTGACAGTCAACACCAGAACATGAATATTGCCACCGTGAGGCAAATGGCTTCCAAGCACACAATCAGACGTATAGACTCTGCTGTGAAAACTGGAAGGGAAAAGGAAAGACTTTTTTTTAAAAAAATAATCTAGCACAGTGGATGGATGGAACCTGTCTACGGAGACAACCCAGCACACCAAAACCTACAAGAGGAAATCTAAAAGAAGAATGATAGGTGGAAGGTATTTGACATCATTTCCCAAAGATCTTACAAACAGTGCCCGGTAGAAAAATTCTGTCTTGCCTTTTTCTTTTCTAGAGAGATTCTCACTTGTCCAGGTCATGGTTGTTGTCCCAAAGATGCTTTTTCAAAAAGGCAAATGGATTTTCTTGGTTTTGCTTGAAGACGTTTTGCTTCTTATCCAAGAAGCCTCTTCAGTTCTGACTGAATGGTGGGGAATGGTAGGATTTATATTCCTTGCAATCACCTGGTCGTTAGCAGACCCTGAGTACACAGTTAAACCTTTAAAGTGGCCTCAATGATTCTCAGAAAGAGCACTAATAACCAGATGACTGCAAGGAATATAAATTCCTCCATTCTCCGCCATTCAGAAGCTTCTTGGATGAGAAGCGAAAACATTTTTAAGCAAAACAAGAAAGTCCAGTTGCCTTTTGAAAGAAAGCACCCTTTTTCCTTCCAGTTTTTACAGCGGTATCCAGATGTATATGCATTTGTGTTAATATTATGGTTTGTTGCCCAGGCAGCCAGGTGTAGAGACTGGATTTGGCATTTTTGTCCACCTGCCGAGTCCTTTCCAGGGACCTGGGATAACCTGAGATGGATGTTTGATGAAGTTAGCGGTATCGTCACAGGAAGTCAGTTGTTCTAAGCAAAACTCTTTGGCAATTGACTGATGGGGATTTTGTCAATGCCGATGATGTTCAAGTGATGCTCCAATTGTTTTGGGATTGCACCCAAAGCTCCTATTACTATCAGTGCTACTCTTGCTTTCTTTTGCCACAGTCGTTCTATTTCTATTTGCAGGTCTTTGTATTTTGTGATCTTCTCCAGTTCTTTCTGCTGTCTCCAGGTACTGCCACGCCCACTATCCAGACTTTTTTTTGCCACCCATCTTGCAGTTCAAGGTGACTCTGAGTGGCTTACAATAGGATAATGCAATACACATAATGCGATGCCCATAAAAACACACAGAGATTCGGCCATCCTGTCTCAGCCAGCATTTTCACCTTTTCTGCCTCCCTCTTCAAATGTTGTTGGAAAGCCCCTCTGTCCTTTGGGTTGTTTTTATGTTTGTGACTGAAAAGGGCAAGATCCTAGTCTCACTGTTTTTGTTCTGTTCAATCCTTGTTTCCAGGGCAGCAGGAAGAAGCTCATACAGAAATCACAGAGATAAACAAGGACTTTTTAACCAAGATGACTTTTCTGTTGGAGATGAGAGACCACATCCTGTACAAAGGAGAATATTACAAAACTCCAGTGGTCGTCAAAGTCTTCAAAAATCCTCTGACCACCAACACAAAGTGAGTGAAGAAGGGCGGTTGTGGGGATGGTAGAACCTGCTAGTGGAGTCAAAAAGTTAAGCCGGCTTTTTCCTCCAGCTGTTACATCCACTTCCTGCTTTTCGCATTGTTTATCACTGCTGCTCCCGCCTCTCCCTTTCGTCCTTTGTCCATTGAAGTTGGGGAAAGATGTCTTGGTGCACTACCAATTTGAGGTGGTTAAGGCTATGAAATTGAGTTCTACTCCTACCTTAGACACAAAGTGGGCAAGGTGACCTTAGGCCCAGAGGTGGGATTCTACTGGTTTGGACTGGTTCAAGTGAACTGGTGGTTCCAGTGATCATTTGGCCCCGCCCACTGGCCCCTGATCTTTTCTGTGCTTCAGTTCTTTGTTTTGGAGCACAGCCGATTCATGCGGCAGAGCAGTTGGCCATGCATCCGTGGTTTTACTCATCGGGACGGCAGCAGAAGGTAAGTATTATAGCTAAAAATGGTCTTTTCTAAATGCTGGCCATGCACGCTCACCGAACCGGTTGTTACACCGGTTGAATCGCACCACTGCTTAGGCCAGTCACTTTCTCTCCGCCCTAGCTGTGCTCACATTGCAGCCCTGGTCAAAAGGGCCCAGCAGAGATTAGACTACCTGAGACTTCTCAGAAAACAACAACTGAATGAAAAACTGCTGGTGACCTTCTACTGCTGCACCATAGAGAATATCTTAACTTACTGCCCCTCTGTAGGGTTTGCCAACTGCACAGGGGCAGATAGGACAGCACTCCAGAGGGTTAAGGTCATTGCCCAGAGGATCATGGGTTGCCCTCTCCCCTCTTTGGAAGAGCTTTATAGCTCCCGCTGCCTTAAGAAAGTTCAAAATATCCTCAAAGATCCATCTCATCCTGGGCATCCTTTATTTTGAACTATTACCATCTGGCAGACAGTACAGGACAATAAAAACAAGGACAAATAGGCTGAAAAACAGCTTCTATCCCAGGGCAGGAGCTCTTTTGCATTCTGCTGTATAGTGCAATATGAACGCAATATCAGGGGTTTTCAATTCAATATATAGAATGTGAAGGATGTGTGTTTGTGTTTATTTGCATGGTCATGGTCATGATGTGCACTGAAGATAGTGTTTAATTTCATTGTATGAGGTGCAATGACAATAAAGTGAAGTGAAGTGAAGTGAAGTGAAGTGAAGTGAAGTGAAGTAAAGTAAAGTAAAGTAAAGTAAAGTAGGAAGGAGGCAATGGCAAGCCACTTCTGGTGGTCCCCCATCCAAGGACTGACCTGCTCAGGCTTCTGAGATAAGACAAGGTCAGTTCAGGGTTGCCACCTGAAGTCGATTCCCAGTAAGAGGCGGTTGGACTATCCAAAAATATGAGGCGGGATTCTGTTTTAGCTCTGAATTAAAAGTATGTCTCTACCTCCTTGATGCAAATCCTTCTCTCTCCTTGGGTGGGGTTTGAGGGTGAGGCCATCAGCTCCTGCCACAGATTGACCCTGTTCAATTTCCTACAGGAAGGTGAGGGAGATCTTTGAGGAGGAGATCAGGACCCTGAAAAGGTTGGAGTCCTCCTACATTGTGCGCTTGTACGGCATCTGCATTGATGAAAGCGGTAAGCTCTTTGGACTGGCTTGGGATTGGGAGAAGCGGCTTCCTTTGAGGAATATAATAACCACAATCTATGAGCAGAATTTCCATTGCTAAGCAAGGCGGTTTTTAAGCGAGTTGCTCTGGATGTTACGACCTTTTTTGCCACGGGGTTGGGTGGGTTAAGCGAATCCCTCCGGTCGTTCAGTGAATCATGTGGTTGTTCAGTGGATCTGGCTTCCCCCATTGGTTTTGCATGTTTGAAGCCAACCAGGAAGGTTGTGTCAGGCCCAAAATGTACTCAAGTCATCAAAGTGCCAAAAAGAGACTTAAGCAAAGATTTGGAAAAAGTAACAGCTTTTATTTTGGCCAAAGCAAAAGAGCTGAGTGGACAGTTTCATAGCATACAGACAGCAAGCATGCAAGGAAAAAGCCACACCAGGGGAGAATGTGGCTAACAACTTATACAATCCTGTAGCCAATCAAGACAAAGTTTGTTACCCAAGGTGGGCAATGTCTTGCCCATACCCTTCTTATCTTCAAAACATTCCTTGTCCAAGTCCTGTCCCTGCCCGTCCCTGATAGCTTCTGTGTGTTCACGCTCTTCTTGTCTATTTGATGGGCATTCCTGGGCAGCTCCTTGCTCTGCCCTCGTTATCTATGGAGCAGGACGTTCCCCTTTGTTTTATCTTTCTTATTTATTTTCCAAGGATGTGCTGAGCTTTGAAGCAAACACGGAAGCGAGATAGCAGGAGTTAGACTAGCAGCAAAGCAGGGGTGGGATTCAAATTTTTTAACAATTGGTTCTGTAGGCGTGGCTTAGGTGGTGGGCGTGGCTTGGTGGTCACGTTATTGGCTGGGCGTGCCCAACTCAATATCACTCACATCGAGGCACGCATCTCCTCGCCTGGCCTCTCATGACTGTGGGGATGCTGCAACAGTGGTAAGTGTGAAAAAGGGTCATAAGTCACTTTTTTCAGTGCCGTTGTAACTTTGAATGGTTGCTCCACACAAGCAAAGTACCAGCAAAGGAGGGGGAAAAAAACTCCAGAGACGTTCCAGAGACAGGAAGTCTAGTCCTGCCAAGAACGTAATAAGGGTTAACGGAGAGGCAGTTTCTGTAAGCAACCCCAGAATGTTTCCTTCCTGCCTTCCTTACAGGATTAGGCCAGTAATTTCTTCTAACAACCGGTTGTCCAAACTGCTTAGAATGTTAACAACCGGTTCTAGAGAATAGATGCGAACTGGTAGAATCCCACCCCTGTAGCAAAGGTTACAGTGCTTAACAGGATTAATCCCTAACAAAAGTAAAATAGCAAAAGCAATTCTTAATGGAAGCAAAGAGCAAAGGTTCAATTGATAATGTTACTATGTCCCTTCAGTTGCAAATGGTGACCACAGGATGCTTCAACCAGGTAAATTCATGCTGTTTGCCAAGTGCCAAGTTTTGATCAGGTGACTACGGGGATACAGAATGGGACAACTTGCCACAGCCAATGCGCTGCAGGCCAACTCGCTGTGGGACAACTCGCCGCAGGGCAATTTAGCAATTCTTTTTTAATTATTTAAAATAAATAAATAATAATAATTTCAATTTTTGTCATATGCATTTCACCCTGTCCCTCCTTTTGCACCCTTTTCTTTAATGATTCTATTCCATGGTTTCTTTAATATTAGTGTAACTCTTGTCCTGCAGTGAATGGTCCGGCGGCGAGTTCGTCGCGGCAAGTTGGCTATGGTGAGTTGGCGGTGACGAGTTGCCACTCACAGGGATGCTGAGAACTTGTAAGCCTGAGGATGGGTCATAAGTCACCTTTGTCAGCATGGCTGTAATTTCAAACAGTCACTAAACAAAAAACTATCTTCACTGATGCCCTGATGCCACCCTCTCTAACTTCCACTGACTCTCTTTGTGCAGAGTAAGGCGAGAGATTTCCTGCAGGAAAAGGGAAGTGAGGGGAGGCTCTAATAACGGTGCCATCACTCCATTTTGGGCAGAATTGCAAGGTTTATGGCCGGCTTTTCAGAGCCAGCTCTTCCAACGGATTGGGGATGGAAGCTCTGGGCGGGGATCTAAATTCAAGAAGCAGACCCAGGAGTGGGATTCAGCAGGTTCAGACCAGTTCGGGTGGGATTCAACCGGTATAACAACCAGTTGGAAGCACACGCACACCAAACCGGTTGTTACACCAGTTGAATCCCACCCCTGGGCAGACCCTGCGGTAGGCACTGCCATTTAGCCTCTACTCTTCCAGCAAAGCCACAGATAGTTTTTTGTGCAAAAGCTGCTCTTGTAAATCATGAAGATATTTGTATTTCATTCTAACGCGCTGTTTCTCAAAGTTGGCAACTTGAAGATGGCTGGCTTTCATCTCCCAGAATTCCCCAGCCAGCATAGCTGACTTCTGCCTTTTGTTCAATAAACAGGAGCTAAGCAGAGCAGAGGGCAGGGTAGCTGGGTTCCTCTTGCTGTTCTGGCTTGGGATTGAGGAATGGAGCATCCCGGCCAGGTGAGCTAAGCGGGGCAGTGTCATGCCCCTGGTGGAGACTGACTCTGAGGAAGCGGACGAACAGTGGACAGGGAGTGGAAGTGTGGCTCCATAGGTTGCGGAGGAGATTGGGGAAGGGCAGAGGTCGGCTGCGCAGTCAGAGGAGGACCCGGGCCCATCCCCTCTTCATCCTAGGCATGCAGTGAGGCGAGGATAAGGGAGAGACATGGCCTACTGGGGAGGAGAGGGCCTTGATCCTCTTCATGGACTGCAGCTGTGACAACTGGATAAGAGGATGGACATGTGTACGGGCGAGTGCTGGAAACAAAGCGTGGAAATATCTCTAGTTTATTGTTCGTCTCTGAGTTTGGCGTCCTTCCCAGTGTGTGTCCTGATATCTGTGGCTGTCTTCCAGCCCTTATCTTGCCTGGTTTGTGTTGGTTTTTACTATGTATGTATGTATGTATGTATGTATGTATTTTGTCAATTGTTTACAAGATAATAGGTATAAGTAAAAACATAGTTATGAATACATGGATACATATAAGAAAAATAAAAGAAAAATAAAAGACAGGGACGGTAGGCACATTGGTGCGCTTATGCACGCCCCCTACAGACCTCTTAGGAAAGGGGTGAGGTCAATAGTAGAAAGTCTAAGGTTAAAGTTTTTGGGGTTTGGGGAAGAAGCCACAGAGTCAGGTAGAGTATTCCAGACATTGACCACTCTGTTGCTGAAGTCGTATTTCCTGCAATCAAGTTTGG